CACGACCTACCTAAACTTACACAAAGTGAAGTAGAAAACCTGAACAGACCAATAACAAAAGAAGAAATTGATCAGGTCATCAAAAGATTCCCAAGCAAAAAAAGCCCAGGCCCAGACGGCTTCACTGGTGAATTCTACCAAACATTCAGGGAAGAGCTGTCACCAACTCTACTCAAATTATTCCAGAAGATAGAGGAGGAGGGAAAACTTCCTAATACATTTTATGAAGCAAGCATAACCCTCAAACCAAAACCAGGGAAGGACGCCACTAAGAAAGAAAACTATAGACCAATATCCTTCATGAACATAGATGCAAAAATTCTCAACAAAATACTAGCCAACAGACTCCAGCAACACAAACTGACTTTGAAGTCCAGTGCATTAACCCACAGCGCCACACCAGAAGTCCAGAGGAAAAAAAGTATCCCTCACAACGTATGTCCGAATCAGTCTCAAATGTCCAATCCTCTGTCCTTGACTGATGAGTATGTGTGGAGAAAGAAAAACAGACAGAGATGAAGTACCCTTCCCCAGAAAGGCTTTGCAGACATTTGTATGGAAGTGTTTACGGTGTTTTTTTCAATTACCCACTTCCATCAACCCTCCATTCATTCTACAAGACTTCACTTTGTACTAGGCAGTCTGCTAAGTACTGTAGATAGAGAGAAGATAAGATGCGGTCCCTACATTAGACATAGGCATGGGAGATAATCATTCCCAGTGACCCGTTTGATGGCAGCATGCTCAGGAAATATTGATGAGTCTTAGACAGAAAGGAGGTAACAAGATGAAGAAGTAAGGGGAATGTCTTCTAGAGAGAGGGAACAGCATGCACAGAATTCAAAGCTAAGATCAACTTGAAGTCAAAAGTTCCAGTTTCTGGCTTGTGTTGTTCTCTAGTCAATTGCTCAGCTGAATCCTCCTCAAAAGGCAAGTCTCAGAAGGGAAGGGGATCTCAGGGAAGAGATCACCAGCCTGTCTGGGCAGAAAAGACTCCCACTTTGTCCAGCTTGGGGCACATCTAGTTTTGCCCTCTCCTCCCATCCTCATCTCTGCCCTGCCCTGTCCCTAACACATAGGTTCTCATTAGGATGAGCGATCCTGGTGTGGTGCTGTACAATAAGCACTACTCAAGGTCGGCAGTTCAGACCCACCAGTCACTCCTTGCAAACCCTATACAAGGTCACTATGAGTCAGAACAAACTCGACAGCACTTAATAATGAAGGCCCCTGAGTGGTGCAAGTGGATAAGCACTGGACTGTGAACCACAAGCC